GACTGTGTCAGATTAGTTTCTCAGACTTACTACCGTTCTTGTCAGGGGTTTGGACCGGCAGTCTGCTAGGATTGCAAGGTTGGTGTGAGTAAAGTCTACCACTTTTCTCAGGGGTATTACTAACTCTGGGCGATGTGGTGAGTCCTTATCCATCAGTCAAATGCATCCTGGGCAGGCTGTCGGGGTTCAACCTCCTGACGAGTCGGTGAAAGTCCGACGAAACAGTCTGGTACAGTCATGCTTTTTTTGAGTGTATAGCGAATATGACAACACACACACACACACACACACACACACACACACACACACACACACATGCACACACACACCGGAGCCAATTGGTCAATACCACAACGACTCTCCTCCACCTGTGCAATCTGCAGAATCAACTTGCAGAAGTGAACGAGTATCTCCCTGCCATAAATGGATCCCCCATGCAACCTGTGGAATCAGACAATATCATAGCGCTACAGTGAGGGTGCTGCGCGTACTATGCCATTAATATGTGTCTCCTTGCTTACAATTGTAATCCTTGCACAGTTTCTGATTTTGCAGACTTTGTTCGCTGGATAGAAGAAGAGCACCGTGCCGTCTGCCCAGTGGACGACAGTGCTGCACCTGTTGTGAACATAGAAGTCCTGGCTATGGGTAGGCGACTGCAATTTCAGCCTGCTGCGTAAAACCACGTGCCAGGCAGGGATCCGAAGATTCGGGCATATACCTTATATCGTCCAGGTCATTTCAATGCTCTTACCTTCGCAGATAATTCATGGACCCTATGGGACAATGACGGTAGCGTGCACACAGTGGAAAATACTAATTCTTTTTATCACCAAACGCTGGAGGATCACTCAGTGTGGGTCGTCCATCAGGATGAGCACTGTACCCCCTGGAGAGCAATCCGGCTGATTCTACCACAAACAGTGGAAGGACCTTTTCAGAGGAGGATGGTTGTGCCCTCCTGTTGTGTCGTCACGTATGTGTCCGAATTTCGATTCAACATGGGTTTCGCGTTGAATTCGCGTCGAAACCCGTTTAGACCGCGTTAGACGCGAGTAAACGGGGTCCGTGAAAAGGGATTTCGTGTATTTGGGGGGGGGGGGGTTGAGGTTTTTGAGGGTCTGGGGTGGTACAGTGGCCTGTTGGGTACCACCTCATGCCCTCATAAGTTTTTTTTTTTTTTCGTGGAAAAATTAAAAAAAACGAACCCAACTTAGTGCAGGGCATTTTCGGTGTGGAGCGAGCTGCTTGGGGAGGGCCAGGGGGAACGGCTATAAAGAGGGCCATTTCACTTGGCTGCACTCATTTGCCGCGCGAGCCGAAACTTGGAACGTGTGCTGTGGACAGCGTCCAACGCGCGCTCATGCGAAATCGCTCAGTGGCTAGGATAGAGGCGTGAAATTGTGCTTTAGGCTTTTTCTTTTTTTTTGTGTGTGTGTGTGTGTGTGTGTGTGTGTGTGAGAGAGAGAGAGAGAGCGCCGCGA